CTCAGAGGAAGCAGCAGCAGCAGCTCGGGACTTACCAGAAATGCAGAATCCTGTGCCTCCCACGCCACCCCATCTTTTGCAAGTGAGAAACCAGCATGTTTTTTGATAAGCTCTCCCAGGGAACTGACATGCCCATTAATGTTTACAAAGCAGTGGTCTAGAAGAGAAGGTCTTACATGAAGAACAATTATTTCTGCATTTGTCTACGCTTAATTTGTGTTCACATGCTATTTAGGTAACTGTGTATTTTATAAGATCCTTTGGATTTTCATTACATTTGAAAATGCATTTGATCTTAGATACCTAGTAGTAGCAGCCATAGTTGTTAGTATCTTCTGAAAATGTACCATGTGTCAAACACTATCTGAAGTGTTCATGTATTATTTAATTCTTACAACCACCCTGAAAGGCAGATATTATTTTCATATGAGAAACTGAGGTACAGAGACAGAAAATTAACAAGGTCATGGGGATAAGAAGTTGCCAAACCAGGATGCAAAGCTAGGCAACCTGGTTCTAGAGCAGATGGGCTAACCCTGATGCCCTGAGGCTCCTCTTAGTTCACTCCACTCCAGCAAACATGTGCTTTGCAACAAGAGACGGTTTTGTGTAAATGTGACTACACGATCAGGTGCCAATTAAGGGAATGCCAACTAATCATAGGACCTGTGGAAAAGTTTAATTTCACTGTGTACTTCTCTCTGGATTCAGAATAAATGATCTCATAAGCCTAGTTCTAGGTCTATAATTTTGGTAGTATAAAAGAAAAGTTCCCCTGTGTCTACCAAATACAAAAAACTAGCTGGGAGTGGTGGTGCGTGCCTGTAGTCCTAGCTACTTGGGAGGCTGAGGCAGAAGAATTGCTTGAACCTGGGAGGCGGAGGTAGCACTGAGCTGAGATCGCATCACTGCATTTCAGCCTTGGTGACAGAGCGAGACCCTGTCCAAAAAAAAAAAAAAAGTTCCTTCGGGGCTGCCTCCCTAATTCCTATACTTCAACAGATACATTTCGAAAGCAGTTTTCAACATGCATTTCCTAGAACCCTGGGGTCCTTCACGGGTGCCTCCAGAGCCTAAGTAGTTGTTCTCGCCAACCAGCCCACCTAGCATTTTAATGTCAATGAATTTGTATGCCGGAGGTTAAAATTACAATACAGTTAACAAACAAACTACCATTGTTTTAAAAAGTAACAGATTGGAAAGCACTGATTTTGGTTTGGCTGACCATGTACACTAGAGATTCTTTTTGGACACTTCATCATAATAACTGTGGATATACAAACTAGAAATAGTATAGCAATGAAGTTAATCTTTTTTTTTTTTTTTCCACTTTGGCATGTGGTATCTTTTTTCCCCTGATACTCTGTATGCTTCCAAAAATATTATATAATATATACTTCTTCATATGTATTTGTTCTAATCCACTTTTTAAAATGTTTTTGAAAACTTCAGTTGAAAACTATGCAATATTCTGAAATCCCTATTTTCAGAATAGATTTAATATTTAGAATATTGCTACATTATTCAAATATTCATTTCTCATAACAAAATACGGGAAGGTTTTTAAACCTAGTCAATTAAATAAAGTGTAAATGTTTACAGTGTTTTGGGGGAATAATTTTATTTATCTATTTGAGACAGGGTCTGGCTCTGCTGCCCAGGATGGAGTGCAGTGGTGCAATCTTGGCCCACTGCAACCTCTGCCTCCTGGGCTGAAGCCATCCTCCCACCTCAGCCTCCCAAGTAGCTAGGACTAGAGGTGTGTAGCACCACACTCGGCTAATTTTTGTATGTTTTGTAGAGATGGGTTTCACCGTGTTGCCCAGGCTGGTCTCAAACTCCTGAGCTCAGGCAATCCACCGCCTCGACCTCCCAACATGCTGGGACTTCAGGCATAAGCCATGGTGCCAGCCAGGTTAATATCATAAATTTAAAATGTACACACTTAGCCTGGTATTTTCATTTGTCGAAATTTTCTTACTGAGCCATTCCTGCAGGTGCATACATGGAGGTTGACTGCAGCATTGTTTATGGGTACCTACCCAAAGGCAATGAAATCATTATATCAAAAAGATACCTGCATTTGTGTGTTTACTGAAGCACTACTCACAACAGCAAAGAGATAGAATCAGCCTAAGTGTCCTTCAATGGAGGAATGGATAAAGACATTCCTTTTGGGTAGGTACCCAGTTAGTGGGATTGCCAGGTATTTTTAGTTCTTTGAGAAATCTCCATACTGTTTTCCATAAAGGCTGTATTAATTTTTTTTTTTTTTTTGAGATGGAGTCTCGCTCTGTTGCCCAGACTGGATGGAGTACAGTGGCACGATCTCGGCTCACTGCAACCTCCGCCTCCTGGGTTCAAGCTATTCTCCTGCCTCAGGCTCCCGAGCAGCTGGGATTACAGGTGTGCGCCACCAGGTCCGGCTAATTTTTTGTATCTTTTAGTAGAGATGGGGTTTCACTGTGTTAGCCAGTATGGTCCTGATCTCCTGACCTTGCGATCCACCCGTCTCGGCCCCCCAAAGTGCTGTGATTACAGGCATGAGCCACCATGCCCAGCCAAAACAATGTAATTTTTAAACAACTGCATGGAATCTGTTTTATAGATGTACATGATTTATTCAGTCACTTCTTGTGCGGGGCATTTGTTTTTTTCCTCCCCTAACCTTTCCCTAGCCCATCTTGCCCCAGTCCTGATTTTCCTTTTATAAACAATACTGCAATGAACCTCCATGTATGTACCCGTAGGAATGCTTCAGTAAGAAAATTTCATTATCCATGGAATACCACTAAGTCATAAGCAAGAATAAAATCGTGCATTTTGCAGCAACATGGGTGGAACTGGAGGTCACTATCCTAACTGAAATTACTCAGAAACAGAAAGTCAAATACTGAGTGTTCTCACTTATAAATGGTAGCTAAACAATGGGTACACATGGACATATGGAATGGAATGATAGACATTGGAGACTCCAAAATGTGGGAGTCTGGAAGTGGGGTAAGGGTTGAAAAACGACCTATTGGGCACAGTCCGCTATTCGTGTTACGGGTACACTAAAAACACAGACTTTACTTACCACCACGCAATACATGCAGGTAAGAAATCTACACTTGCACCCCTAAATATATCAATGAAAAAAAATTTTAAGTTATTTTCACCAGTTTTAAGAGATCCTAGATTGTAAAATGTATCTTGATATAATAGATGTTAAAAATTGGGAAAAATACATGTGGACATGGTTATATATCATAATTATCAGATGACCCCAATCTCAGGGATGCTGAAGTGCAAAATATAAAGCAAAGTGTAGCTTAGATTAATGATACAGACTTCAGTTATAAACACTATTGGATATAAATATATTAATATACAGCAATGACTAATATAAATACATAATGATAATTAAAGTGTAGGAAAATGCTAGGATGATAAAACCCAACTGTCAAAAGTGAGTGTCTTTAAGGAGCCGAGTTCAACTGTGATGGCGTAGGCGGAGGGGAATATAACCTCTTTGACTATTTTAATACTTTAGGAGGAATACATGTGATTTGTGGAAAAAATGAGACAATGAAAAACCACTGCATAAGTAAAAAAGATTTGAGGTAGTATAGCATTGTGAGAAAATGACTCAAAAGCCTCACTGAACTCACATCAACTTAGTGATTTCACTTTTGTCTCCCCGTGGCATCTGCTTCCAGGGCCCGAAACAACCAGTAAAGCTAGTAATTAGCCCCCTGCTCTACCTACATCCTCCCAGCCCTTGCAACAACCCAAGACAGATGTAGACGCCTCCATTTTACAAATGAGCTGTACAGGGTGAAGTTTTTTTCCCCGGTCATGCAGCTGCTATGGCAGTGCTGGATTCTAGACTCAGCGCCATCTGGCCCCAGACCTGCCCTCTCTCCAATTCGGGGCTGCTATCATTGCCATCTAGTGCTTTGTGTATTTGCTCTTTATCCTTGGCTATTCATTTTCTTCTTACGGGAATTCCCAATTATTTTCTCTTTCATGCTACATTGGTTTTCAGTTATTTCTAAGCTGCAAAGCTAATTTATTATATAGTTTGAAAGAAATATTCTAATTGAATTCACTAAAAATTAATGCATTTCTTCTTTTCAAGCAATTTTTCCCCTCTCGACTGTTCTGAGAATATATTTATAATAAACTCCTTTGCTTTCTACTTGCACATGATCCTTCTAGCTTTAACAAGTCAACTTTACAAAAGGATATACTGAACACTTTCGAGTGCTTTCCTTTAATGAGAAGGTGCTATGACGGTAAAGAGGGAAATTGGCAGTCAGTGCACCACTCAACGGTCACCAGACAGCCCAGCCAGGAAGCACGAAGCCAGCACCTTCCAGGCCTCCTCCAAACTGGGAGAGGGGATGAAACTGGGAGCTTAGCCTGTCTCATCTTTTCCAGTTGGCTAAAGGTTTAAACCCAGATAGATCTAGAACTTGAAAGGAAAGGAGATTTGTTGAAATATTTCTTCGATTACTTTCTAAACCCTTCCCTTTTTGTTCTAACCCGTTTCTTATATCTCCATATACAGAGGTTGACATGAAAATTTGGACTTTGACCTACAGTGATTTTCTACCATCTCTAATATATGTTTTGGTCTAAGTAGAAACTGTTAGGAATGAGAAGAATTGTAGTAAAAAATGAACTGCCAGGAAATATAAATTCTAAGCCTATGCCACTGATTGCTAAGTTATGTTTCTTTGGGTCATTTATCATTCACTGGGGAAATGGAATGAGGGTTTCAAAAATTAATGACAGGGTCGGGAGTGGAGGTAAACCAGGAGCGAAATGTTTCTGCAATCCTGCCCTACACACACACACACACACACACACACACACACACACACACACACGTAATGAAAGTAAGATATCACGAATGAAGGCGAAGATATGCAAGAGAAACGTCAGGATGCAAAGGAGGTGAGATGAACTTGTCCCCAAAGGCCTCCTGCAGAAGGAACTGGATACGGGCTCACCTGAATCCTTCATGGGGCAGAGGGCACACTGCATGCCCCAGGCCTCTCCATACAGACAGCAGCACTCAGTGTACGTCGTCTGCTTGCCCACAAGAGGCCGGCTACACACGTACTCATCACTCAGATGTTCCCAGCACAAATCTTGGTAGACATCAGTTTCTTCTATTTGTTCTGAAAGGGAAAACATAGTTCCATGAAAATTGCACAGTTATTCCTATTTATAAACACTGTGTTGGAAGCCAGCAAGTCTCCAAGCTTCCATCTCTATTTCTAAGAGTGACTTCCAAGTAAAAGTCTGAATCCAGTCTGGTCTTTGAATGGATCAATTCTCTGTCATCTTCAACTGGGTGTCATTCCATCAGCTGAAATTCCACCTGCCCATCCGGTCCCAACACAATACTTCTCTCTACAGCTTCCTACTGTTATATACAATGCCCACTATTTTGCCTGTCCGTCATAAGCCTGATGGGCTTCTCACTCTTCTAATCTTCACTTTTTCATTTCCTCCTGTCAAACCCTACCATTTCTTTCCACGTACCAGTTATTGAATTCATGCCTTCTCATCCATTTAACCTGCCAAAGCCCTGGACCAGTGACATTTCATCCTAAAGTCTTTAATTCCTACCTTTCAACTGACTTCATCCAAAGCAGTCTCCTGAGGCGAATGATGGATGATGCCAATTATCAGCGGCTTTTTGCCAATTATCAGTAGCATCAGGGATGACAGGAGTTTCTGTCAGTGGACTTCTGGGCCCTCCACCACCTTGTTGAACTCCACCCTCTGCTCTGCTGAGCCTTATCCACTCCCTCCACTCTGCTGAGCACACCTTATTATCTTTCCCTGAATTACATTTCCCTCAGCTGCCTTTGCAGGTTAGGGATGATGAACCCTCAGCCATGGAACAACCCTGCCATCTGCTCAGCTGCTCCATGGTCCATACTTAATGAGTATGTCCAGGCTATTAAATCTCTTGCATACTGATGATATGCATCTTATTATTATTTCTGTAAGTATCTCATTTTAGTTATTTCAAAATACCCAAGGAATTCATTTTTTCTATTTTCCAGTGGTTCACAATTTTAGTTAAAAGGAAAACCTTATGATATTTATTTGGACACAGGTTTGCATCTCCTGGAAACATACCGTTTGACTCAGCCGGTCTTATACATCTTTTTTCTGATGCATCCAGGACCATGGGGTGAGTACAGAAGCAGTTGTAAGAGCCCTCTGTATTAACACACTGGCCATCAATACAACTACTGGGGTCTTGACATTCATCCATATCTTAGGAGAAAAAAAATATTACTAAAGAAAATCAGCCATCAGTTGTACCTCATACACTTACCAAACTTTACACATTGCTCTATTTAGTCCAGATTCCAGGGGCTGCCGCTTTTAATTAACCACACATTATCATCCAAAAGAGAGTGGCTCTGACTATAAAAATGTAAGCTGCTCTGACTGAAAAACAACATTGCTGCTGCTGCCGACATTAAATAAGGAAAGAAAACATCCATGAACAGGATATGCTTAGAAATTTAAGATAAAATGGCTCCTTACGATAACTTTTAAAATTATTTCCTTTTGCTATGTTTTTCTGCCTAGTATATATGGTTTTCTGCTTAAGCATTAAGGTCTGGGTCAGTATTTAAAATGGCTCTCACTTGCACAGTATGAGTGATGAAACAGGAGGTGCCACAGACCAAAAGAACACTTCAGTTATACCAGTGGCCTGAATTATAATTCCACAGTGAATATTAACTCTTTGTTTGAAATACATTCAAACAGTAGTATGGAGGTGTTTCTTTTTTTTTATTTTCTTAAGTTGTGCTTAAGAAAAAGATCCCTAAAACATTTACACATCTTTTCAACATATGATTTAGATTCAAGGAAATTGTTTTTACTACATAGCATAGTTATTTTTTCCATGTGTATATTTTCACAGTACACCACACTATATCCCCTTAAAGCTTACCAAAGCACTGCAGTTTCACAGGATCGTAGTATGTCCCTTGCTTACAGTAGCATTCATACCCAGGCCGAGTGTTCAAACAGAAACCATTTTTACAGATTTCTTGTCCAAAAAGTAGGCATTCATCTGCATCTATTGGGAAAAAATTGAGAAATACAAAAAGAAGTTAGGTTTGATCTTTCAATTAAAAAGAGTATAACCAGATTTGGGGCTTTAAGTTAGATATTATAATATTTATATTCCAAAGAATCCTACAGAAACAGCAATATAATATTCTTAAAATAAGGCCTAATTGGCAGGCATAAAAACATAAACAGATGTAGTTTGTCTGTGATATTTGAGAAGCAATGGCCAAACCATTATTGGAGAAGTGTATTTGTAAATATGGTTTCTGAGATGCTACCTCATATTTGATGAAATGGTCTATGGTTCCATAGTGGCATCAACAGAAGGATATATACCTTTTAAGAAATGTGTTCTGTAATGTATATTCTGGCCCATTCACTAGTTGAGATGTAGAAAGTTTCCAAGAAGGTTTGGTGGAACTTGAATGCAAGTTTTTCTTGATAAAAGAAAGCACAAGTTGCTAAGGGGGTTAGCAGACCCATTGCTATCTCAGTTTACTCAGTGATAAATTAGAGACAATAGGAACACCTACCTAATAAGAGTGGAAGGATGAAATGAGATAATCCATGGATAGGACTCAGTATATACTCTGGCATAAGCAAATACTCAAAAGTATTATCTGTTGCTTTTACTGCTATTATTAGCATTAGTTCTAGCATTTTTGAGCTAATGTCATCTATTCCTCATTTTACAACCTGAAGACTCCATAGAGGATTTGCTTAAAGTTACACAGATGGAAAATGGCAAAGCCAAGCCTAGAACATATGGCTGGTTGGATCTAAATCCAATCTTCTTCCAACCATTAACAGCACTGCTAAAATAGGAAGAGGAGGAATTTATTTTCATATAAAAGAGAAGATGAATTTATGGTGAAATGAGAGCTCTGTACCTTAATATGAAGTGAGATTTAACTACATCCCTGCAAAAACATAGTAATGTATATTTGTGAATTTGGAAACCATTCAACACGTATTATAAACCAAGTCTTCTCGTTATGTAATTGGACCAAATCATAGATGTATTTAAAAAACACAAATGGAATTTCTTATCCAGCTACTGAATTATACCATATTATTCAAACACTAGTTTTCCAAAAATTGACAATAAAAATGATTTTATAGTCTGTTTCCCAGCTACTTAGCAGTCTTCAGTATTAAACTATAAAGGAAAAAAATCACTTCGTATATAAAAGGTAATATCTCTATCATGAAAATGTCAAAAGTGAGTGGTTAATGAGGAAATATTCATACATGTGGATATTCACCAAAATTAAAAGGCTGCACATTTATTTTAGAATTATATAATAGTAGCATTAAATATATAAAACATGTCTACTCTGGTTGTCTTCTCTTCCATTTCTCATTATGAACTTGTGGCCACTGGTAAAAGGCCCCACAACAGTAGGATAAAGTCTAAAAATACAAGAACCTTAGCTTTGTTGATGACCATAAAGACAAATAGTGGTCAAATTTATATGATCATAATTTATATGATTTCTATTAAGCATCTAGAATAAAATATTTAGTAAGTATCTACTAGGTACAGAATTTGTTAAGTACTTTCAGATATATTATCTTATTTAATCCTTATCATAACTTTTGAGAAATTATTCCTATCTCAGGGATGAAGAGATAGAAACTCAGAAGTTCACCTCCCAATGTCTACTTCCCAGCATCATACAGTTTGTGTTCTGACTCCAAGTCCATGGGGACTTTCTTTTAATGGTAGAATTAAGGACTTTGTAATCAGTTTTCATGACTAAAAAGAACTCTAATTCTGTGAAACCCAAGCCATGCATTCACTTGAGTATCTCACATGTACACAATGTGTTGAAAATTTGTTTCCACTTGATTCTGACCTTTATAGTTCTCACCACCAGCTTCAGAAGAGGAATCTCCAGCAGGCACAAAACCTTTCCCTTTGGGACACATCTCAGTGAACTCAGCTGATTTTAGAAGAGACAAAACCAAGAAAAGAAATAAATTGAAAAGAAAAAAAAAAAAGAATCAACATCTTCCATGAATGCATGTTTCAAGTTCAGTTTTGCTTTCTCAGACTCGGTAACTCTAAGGCAATTCCAGCAAATAAATTTAGTACAATCTCAAAAAATTATGGATTAAGTGCAAAGAAATCTAATGACTTCATAGATTTTCTTACACTTTTTAATTAAAAAAACCTCCAAGTTCACTCATATTTTCTTACTCATGCTTTACTTGATATTATAACTATTATTTTTCCATGACTGTGATGTCTAGTTTCTTAAAGGTTTAATAAAAATCAATTACACAAAATCTTAGCTTCAATACACAAACTTTAGTTACGAATAATGCTGTATCATTATTAGCAGCAAAGACTGATTTTAATTTTAAAGTGGAATAAAACTGAATTAACTTTCTGCCAAAATATCACACAGAACCTGAGTGTCACAGTACACTCTGATGAAGAGAAGTTCAAGGATTCATATTAAGATGGGATGCGGGTGCTGGCTCTAGCACTGAATGAAACTCACTATATGGTAAGTCGCCTTGAGTTGGCTGTGGGAGTGAGTGTCATCATTTCAAGGCCCAGGGATACCATATGACCAAACACAAGTGTGACTCGACAACTCAGCAGATTCTTACCAGTTCCCAAGACCGGGCAGGGGAAGATTTCACAGTTATCTCCCCATCCCGCACCCGATGTACAGCAGCATTCTTGTTTCGTGACATTGGGGGCCAACACATTATCACAGAGACTGGCGTCATTGAGATTATAGTAGCATTCTTTCTTTTCTTCTTTGGGTTGTTCTACATCTAAATCTAAATGGAGTAGAGAAGGTAAAGAGTGACAATAGGACACATCAGAACTACCTAACACAACTCGTAGAGAATGCAATGGGTGAAAGAGTGACCGTGTCAATAGCATTTGCTTTATAGAAAATGCTTTCCACTTTCAGTGTCAGATTCTTCCACTTTGAGATAAAAATGCACTTGAATCCTGAGTTTTGGTGGAATTCTAACATACTCCAAGAGTGTAAATCTGTCAAAACCATTTCCTTTTACGTGAACCAATTATTTTATTATTGTAGATTTGGCTGTGAGTAGAGTTTCCATATCTGCTTTTCTTGCCAAACATAGGGCCATTTGTTACTGAGCTATAACACCTACTTAAATCAATAAAAATTTCCCCCAACACTTGACCAGGGGTCTGAGCCCACACATAATATTTAACCCTTAGGTAGTTATTTGAATCAACCATGCTCCCAATCTCTTCTGAAGACTGCACAGAAGAAGATAACTAGGAAAATACTGCTGTAACCTGGAGCCTATTAAATAACCTTTCATCACTGAAAATCTAACTACTTAAATTGTTGCAAATATATGACTTTGAATGAAATAATGAGTGCCAGCCAAGCCTCAGGGTAGAATTTCAAATCTGGGTTCTAGTCCCAGCTCAAGTGCGTCCTAGAGGAAAACATATTCTAACAGATTCAGCTTAACCCTCTGTGTGATAAAACACGAACGAGATGATATGAAAGAATACAAACGATAAGAACAAAATCCACCCACTTTCAGATAAGGAAACAGATTGAATTCGATCAGATATGAATCTTTGAACAAGTCTGTGCTTTTAAAAAATGATCACTATTTTGTGACTAGACTTGGAAAGTAGTCACACCCCTTCTCTCCTGTATACTATAGAGTTCAAACTACTACCTATGATCCAGTTTGCATTTATTAACTGTTTCTATTTAATGCGACATCAAATAAGAAGCTGACTATTGTCATAATAATTACTTAGATTAATTCTAATGAAATATTGTCACTAGAACTCTACTATTTCCAGATTCTTGGACTCAAACTGTAAGGTCAAAAGGAAGACATTTACTGGTGAGGATAAGAGTTTAATGTCCGCACATACTTACACTTACCTTTGTTTTGAAGTTAGTAGATAATTATATGAGCAGGGAAATTAAATAAATTATTTTTACAATATCTTCCTATATGTTTATTTTGGCAGGGCCTAGTTGACAGTGGGAATTTTATTAATATATTAAACAGTAAATGTGTTTCTAAAATATAAACTCATAAAATTCTATCAGAAAAGCTACTGCCCTTTCTTTCCTCTTCTGGCATTAAAAGCAAGCAAAGCAGCAAACAAACCTCGGAAATATACACTCCTCTCAGAACACAGAGTATCAGTGAGACTATAAAGATCCCTCATCTAGCTGATTCTGGCCAATTCTCTGATTATTTTGTCTTTGACAGATTTCAGTTTGGAGAGTAAGTTAGCATTAACAGCTGATGACAAATGTAAACCTACAACAAGTGTTCAGGAAAAAACTCAAATGCTGATTTCTATGCAGCAGTTTATGAAGTGGTTTTAAATCATTTCCTCGTGTGTGAAATTGGGTAAAATCTGCCACTTCCCTCATCTGGTCTAGCTTGCTTCAAGTGTGTAGAGGACTGAAATTCACTTTGTGCACTCTTAACGGAAGGGATCTTCGTTAGAAGGGCCTCCAAGCTCTTAGATATGGAATTACTTGGGAAAACTAAGAGTACGTATTTTAAATTGTTACTAAATCAATTATGAACCCTATAGAAAATTTTATAATCTCTCCCTCAACACAGTGAATAAATTGTCAGCCTGTTACTACTACCAATTCTGCTCAATTATTTTATTCAGCTGGTCCAAAAATGTAGCTAGCTATTAATAAATAATAGTGAGAAATACAAATCAAAAAAGCAACAGGGTTTTGGTAATCAGGTTTATTCTATGGTCTGTGCTAAAAGAAGGCTCAATTTTTTTCCCCTCATGTACAAAGTTGTAAGTATGTCATGGTGTTTATTACAAAATGGAATACTTTGTAATAAGGCCTCAGTGAAGATTATACTCACAGGTAATTAGAAACTATAGGCTTCTCTTGAGTCAAAGCATGTCAAAATTTATAAATATATATGAATTTAAAATCTGAAATATATTTATATATAATTTTATGTATTTTAAACACACACACATATATATAGACAAATACATATATGATAAACATTGTTTTGTTTACTAAAATGTTTCTTACACTCACATCATAAAAACTAAGAAATAAAATAATCTTTGCCTTTTTGGGGAAAGAAGCAGATTACTTCCCATAAGGGAAATAATCAACAATATACTTATAATTATTCAGGTTTTACACTGGTTGTGAAAAGTTTTGGTCTTATTTTCTAAGACATTTGAAAGTTCAATGTTTATACAGCTGAAACTGAGGGTTAGTCAGGCCCTCATCTGTGTTTGGAAAGAAATTCAAATTCTTTTTTAAAAAGTAGTCCACAAAGGTCATTCTGGAAAAAGCTACAATTTCCCTATCTTCCTAGTCTTTAAGTAATTAACTTCCTAGAGCATTTTTCCACTGGGATAAAACTCTGGTCAGTAAATATGTGATAATGTAATTTCTTAAAGAAATTCTTATAAGAGTTTAGTTCATTGCTGCCAGGGGTGGAGGGTTTTTATATTGGAAACTAATTTTAAAAGATCAAATCAATAGTTATAGAAAGTGCCAAGCATTAAAAAAAACGAATCTTCTTTTTCTTAAAGATATTATGAATAAGATTAGCTGTACTACATATCTCATGCCAGACTTCTAAAAAAATATGAATCCTCCTTCAGACTTCTAAAAAATATATTAATCCTCCTTCAGTATTTTCAGATTTGAGTTTTCAATTTGCATTAAGAGGTTGGCTTCACATTTGCATAAAAAGATCAAGTTTTTCATATTTTATTCTAGAGATGTGGCCGGTAACAACAAGAAAGTTTGGTTTTGGACATTTTGTATGTTTTTTTCTGAGGGAACTTTTACAGAGGACTTTTCATGTGATCCACAGGGTGACTATATGAGATAGAAGGTGCTAGTAAATACAGAGTCCTCAATTCCCAGAAGAGAAAACTAATGTCGGTTCCAAGCGGCCTATGTCTACTGCTTTCCCCAAAACCCTTCTTTGGAGCTCAGGTTCTTATCTCACATAGCATGGGTTTGTTCTGCTTTGCCCTTTATTCTTTGTGTGTTTTTTTTTGTTTTCATCTTTGAGATAAATGGGAAGAGGGACACAGATAATCTCTGCTGCTGGGGGTTCAGCAACAAGGCCACAAATAGTGCAATCATGTCCCCTGGCTCTGAATAGGAAGGAGTAGGTTTGAGCTGAAGACACCACCTATAAAGAGCCCTTTCTGGGAGCTCCTCCTGTCTTGGTTCATCAGCCTAAAGAGGGTGTGGGCCATTTGCTTGTAGGGCCATTTCCACCTTTAGTCTTTCCCCATAAATGTCTAATCTAAGGAATTACTGTTGGGATGAGAAAATCTACAACATGTAGTTGGTCAAAGTGGATATGAGCTTTTTAAATGGGCTCTCCCTTTCCATTTACAATGTGTTCTGAAGGTTTTTATGAGCTAATCCTCTCTGAACCTTTTTGGAACAGTCAGAATTACTACAATGACCCAAGAGTAACACTGCTAATACACATGAATAAATAGTTACCCCCAAAGAAACAGCTGCCTGTAGTCCTGAAAAGAGATCAACAGATAAAACTCTGTGCGTGTGATGATGTTCAATAAATTACTTACAGCAGAATTACCCAGGGCACTTTATTTCCTTTCTTATTTTAAAAATGCTACAGGCATTAATGTTTTTAGTGAGAAAGAATTCTTTAATATTTCAAGGAGACATAAAGGAAACCTTAGAAATTCATATGCTTTGAGTTTTCTCATACAAGAACTTGGAAAATTAGAAATGTATTTTTCTTTTTTTCTTTTTTTTTGAGACAGAGTCTCACTCTGTTGCCCAGGCTGGAGTGCAGTGTTTCAATCTAGCCTCACTGCAAGCTCCGCCTCCTGGGTTCAAGCCATTCTCCTACCTCAGCCTCCCAAGTAGCTGGGACTACAGGTGCCCGCCACCATGCCCGACTAATGTTTTGTATGTTTTGTAGAGACAGGGTTTCACCACTCAATCTCCTGACCTTGTGATCCGCCCGCCTTAGCCTCCCAAAGTGCTGGGATTACAGGCATGAGTGACATTTCTGACATTTCTGATCTTAAAGCTTGAAACTTAACATTTGTCTTATCTGAGTTCCTGTCTCAGGAAATGACCTTCAGGCCTCTTAAAAAAAAGTATCAAAGAACTGAAACTCACCAGATCACTACATCCTGACATGAGATGCTGATCCCTGATTCATCATGATTGCTTCCCTGTCCCTCCTTTGCTCTTGTTTTCTTACACATTGTTACATTTCTTCCCTGTTACATAAACCCCTAGTTTTAGTCCATCAGGGAAGTGGATTTGAGACTGAGCTCCCATCTCCTTGGCCCTAGCACCCAATTAAAGCCTTCTTCCTTGGCAGTACTTGTAGTCTCAGTGATTGGCTTTCTGTGCAGTGAGCTAGAACCTAGACCAAACCCCTGGTGTTCAGTAACAGAAAGTAGATAACTTAAGATGGTAAAACATGTCAAAGCAGTCAAAGTGAAGTTTAGAAAAAAAAGCACAAGAGTAAAAACATTTTAAAAGAGGATCTCTCCACATAGTTCTTGCTCTTAAAGAGGTCTTAAGGAGTGAACTGGAGGCTTCACTCTCAGGACACACACACACACCTAGGCCTCACTGCACAGGGATGGGTAGACAAGGCTATCAGGGAAGATGCCTGGTGGAGCTGACATCTAGTGAAGGCATTATAAGAGAATGGAGAAAATGAGCCAGGGACAGTGAGAGGGTGAGGAGAGGAGAAAGTCGGGGATATTACTATAGAGTGGAAAAGCAGGGAGAAGAAAAATGAGC